GCCCTTTGTTACAAAGTAGTCAAAGCACACAATGACTGGACGAGAACTTTTTGACCTGCCTATTCTGACACCCGCTTCTAGTTTAGATTAGAGGCTCCTTCCTGCCCCAGAGTACCCTCCACTTCCCTGTCATAGCACCTATCACAGTGCATGGGATGCCTCTGTAACTGTCTCTCCTCCTCTCTAGAAAGTGGTCTGAAGAGAGTATGTCAGTGTTATTCACAGTTTATATATCCCTAGTACATGCTTACTGAATATTTGACTAGATGGACAGATGGATGGGTGATTTGCCAGGTTGTAACCAGAGGTCTCTGCCAAGAGAGGTAGTCTGGAAGAATAGTAGTTAAGAGTGTGTTCTCAACATTAACTATGAGACTTTGGGTCAATATTTAAGTTTCTCAATGCCTCAGTTTCCTCATTTGTAAAATGCATATAGAAACACTGCTTCTGGTATAGTGTTGTTTAAGTGAACTAAGTTAATATATATAAAATTCTGAGACATAAGTTGCTCAGTAAATATCCACTATTATTACCAGTACAGTATGGTGGTTTCCTGGGTGACCATTTGCTATCCAAATATTACATCCCTGCCGTTTTGGCTCCATTATAAGATCAAAGGATGTCCATTAGGGCTACAGTTATCACTTTGGGTTCAAGATCTCTGAAAAGATTAAAAGGAGAATTTGGAAATGAATATAAGTAGAAATTGAACTAGAAAATTAAAAAAGGAAAAGTGCTCAAGATGGCATGTCCAAAGCAATTTTTCTGGGGCAATAATACCTCTGCTTCTCTCACATCCAAGATGGACAGATGGATGGGTGATTTGCCAGGTTGTAACCAGAGGTCTCTGCCAAGAGAGGTAGTCTGGAAGAATAGTAGTTAAGAGTGTGTTCTCAACATTAACTATGAGACTTTGGGTCAATATTTAAGTTTCTCAATGCCTCAGTTTCCTCATTTGTAAAATGCATATAGAAACAGTGCTTCTGGTATAGTGTTGTTTAAGTGAACTAAGGTAATATATATAAAATTCTGAGACATAAGTTGCTCAGTAAATATCCACTATTATTACCAGTACAGTATGGTGGTTTCCTGGGTGACCATTTGCTATCCAAATATTACATCCCTGCCGTTTTGGCTCCATTATAAGATCAAAGGATGTCCATTAGGGCTACAGTTATCACTTTGGGTTCAAGATCTCTGAAAAGATTAAAAGGAGAATTTGGAAATGAATATAAGTAGAAATTGAACTAGAAAATTAAAAAAGGAAAAGTGCTCAAGATGGCATGTCCAAAGCAATTTTTCTGGGGCAATAATACCTCTGCTTCTCTCACATCCACCAGCCAACAGGCCAGTTCATCTCTGTTCTAGAACATACGTATGCCTCATGGGATGTCATGCCCAATAAACATCAATAAGTGTTTACTGATGCAGGAGAAGAAAGAAGAGTGGGAAAAAATTTTATTTGAAGTCAAGCCTTATCTAAACCTAAGATTGTTATATAATCTTTTTTGTTTCTTTTGAAAGTTTAATAATCCTCTTTTTGTGTGAGATCTGTAGTCAGGATTATCCTAGTACGTCTTCAAATGCTGTGTTTATTACCTTCTAAATAAGGTGAAATGCCAACTTGTGACTGTCTGTGGAAACCTAGTAATTTTAATGTCTCCCTCTACTGCTATTAAAGAGAATTCTCTTGGCCTCTTCCCCAGTCATAGGGGAATCTCTCTCTCTCTCTCTTTTTTTATTTTCTCCTAAGAATAGCAAACTGATTCTCCTTTATTAACTCATTCATTGAAGAGTAATTTTTAAGTAAAGTTAGCTTACAGTCATTTTATGGATAGAAAAAAATTAGACAGAGTAAGAATTTGTAACAAACCCTGATACTTCAATTACCAACTCTTCTTATTCCTTGAGGCTGCAGATATTTTACTCCACAAGGGAGAGCTTGGTCATTAAATTTTTAATAGGATATCTTTTGCCTAAAACGTTAAACAAAGGAAAAATCAATCAGGTTGGCCTAGTTCTGATCTTGATGGGCAGGAAAATCATGTTATAATTCAGAACCAAAAAAGTGGTTCTACAGGTTTCCTCCACTTATGAAACCCTGATGCAAATGTAAAATAGATGATATGGTACCCCTCCCCATGACCTACAGGGTGAATTCCTTCTCCCAGACTCATGAGAGTCACCATTTTACCCAGTTACATCATTTGTGCTTTATGAGTTCAAAAGAGTCACCTGAAAGGACTCTCTTAGGAGGAACAATAAAATGCATGTAGAAAATAAGAGGAACAAATAATATTCTGATAAAAGTTACCATCTTTGAGCCATTATTAAAACCAGGCTCCATTAAGTATCCTTTCCCAATGTTGTATAATCTTCACAACAACACAGAAATAACTAATCATCTGTGTTACCAACACTTAACTGATGTTTACAGAGGTTAATCAATATCCTGAATATCACATGACAGCAAACTCCAGTTTGCCAATTTCAAAATCCATATTCTCTCATTATGGAAAAAAATTAATGAAGCAAATCATTCTCCAATTGGATATTGAGTTCTATTATGGAAATAGCACCTTAGATATGATGAAAGCTTAGTAATCTCTTCTTCAACCCTTCTTCCTGATTGTTAGCAACCCCCAGAAGGTATTATCCAGATTCTGTTTGAACAGTTTCCTAATGGAATTCTCACTACTTCAGTCAGCTAACCCTTTCCCCTTTAGATTATTCTTACTGTTTAAAGTTTTTCTTGAGCTTTTTCTTTTTGTCTTTGGCCATATCACACAGCTTAGGGTATCTTAGTTCCTCAACCAGGGATTGAACCCAGGCAGCCGCAGTGAAAGGGCTGAGTCCTAACCACTGAAACACCAGAGAATTCCCCAGTTTTTCCGGAGATTAACCTCTGAAAACAATAAAACAATTCCAAACCTTTCCCTCCATCATAGCTTATAACACCATTTAAAATCTCTTAGATCTTTTAAGACTTCCATGATACATTCCTTCCCTCGAAATCTTCTTGCAACCTTTCCTGTTGGAAGCCTTCCAGATTTTCTCCATCTGGCTTCCTGAGGACATGGTCAGCTTCCTGGAGTGACTGTTTTCATCAGATGGAAGAAGGATGGTAACCAAAGCCAAGAGCTGTGGCCCTCTTTTCTTATCTGTGGCACAACACTTATACTGGTGCTATGGTCTGAATGTGTCCCCCTCGAAATTCATATGTCAGATCCTGACCCCATAGGAGATGGTATTAGGAGGTGGGTCCCTTGGGAGGCGCTTTGGTTGTGAGGATGGGATCTTCATGATGACATTAGTGTTCTTTGGACGCTGGAGTGATCCCTTGTCCCTTCGACCAGTCAGAAGGTAGCAACTAGGAATAGGAAGAGGACTTGGCCAGAACACAACCACACTGGTGCCTTGATCTTAGACTTCCTAGTCTCCAGAACCATGAGAAATGAATTTCTGTTATTTATAAGTCACCTAGTCTATGGTATTTTGTTATAATAAACCAAAGAGACTAAGACAATTGGATCACTTCTTTGTAAACCATTTCACGACAATATTGGTTCATAATGAACTTGAAGTCAAATAAAATTCCTTAGTCTTTTTTATTTGAATGATTCCCAATCTTATCCTTGGACAATTAGCTTTTTGAACTGAAGAACAAGACTTTGTATTTTTCTCAAAGTTTTATCCTTGGTCATTCTTGGGACTCTGTAATCAACTAAGTCTTTTATAACTACATCCCATAACTCTGGTTCATCTGCAAATTTGACCACCTATACTTTCTCGGGGCTGGATGAAGCACAAGCTGGAATCAAGATTACCTGGAGAAATATCAATAACCTCAGATGTGCAGATGACACCACCCTCATGGCAGAAAGCTGAAGAACTAAAGAGCCTCTAGAAGAAAGTGAAAGAAGAGAGTGGAAAAGTTGGCTTAAAGCTCAACATTCAGAAAATAAAGATCATGGCATCCAGGCCCATCACTTCGTGGCAAATAGATGGGGAAATAGTGGAAACTGTGGCAGACTTTATTTTGGGGGTCTCCAAAATCACTGCAGATGGTGACTGCAGCCATGAAATTAAAAGACGCTTACTCCTTGGAAGAAAAGCTGTGACCAACCTAGACAGCATATTAAAAAGCAGATACATTACTTTGACAGCAAAGGTCTGTCTAGTCAAGGCTATGGTTTTTCCAGTAGTCATGTACGGAGGTGAAAGTTGGACTATAAAGAAAGCTGAGTGCTGAAGAATTGATGCTTTTGAACTGTGGTGTTGGAGAAGACTCTTGAGAGTCCCTTGGACTGCAANTCTTCTGTCTCCTGCATTGGCAGGCAGATTCTTTACCACCAGCACCACCATTCTATACACGAGGACAGAGCTTCAGAAAGAATATCTGACTTGCCTGATGTGATACAGCTAATAACTGACAAAATAGGAAACAGCCTTAGAGCTTCTGTCTCTGTTTCTAGTGCTTTTTCAAAGATGAATGTTTAAATACAATGATTAACCTAATCTTTTTCCTTTTCCCCTCATATAGATATCAACACAGACTAATTAAAATCATGAAATATTTTCTATAAACAAAATCTAGTGTTTTTGTTTATAGAAAATATAGAAAACCCAGAAACCTAGTGTTTAAAGCAGATTAAAAGCAGTCTACTCTGATATAAGTGAGACGAGGGCTCTCAGATTCTCTCTCTTTGTCCCACCTGGGGCCTCCCTACAAGCCCACCATAGATAGTAATGTGGCACCTTACAGTCCTCAGAGTACATTGGGAAGTCACTAGTCAATGGCATGTCCTCAAACTGTAACCTTCTCTAAAAATAGATTTTAAAATAAGGCTGGTTTCTGATACCTTGTTTTTATTAATATAATACATTCTAGAATTCTGTGGGAGATCATCTCTCTAAGGTTTAAAGACCTTTTATATAGAATAGAATTGTTTTAAAGTTTGAAGGCATCTTTGAGTTTAATTCAAATCTTAATTTCACAGATGAAGAAACTGCAACCCAGAGAGGAGAAGTAATACACACAGAATCATTCCTCAGGGGAAGCAAGGACAAGAACCCAGACCTGGACTCTCCTAGGTACGTAGATTCTTCTGGTTATATCATGGAGTATCATTTTTAGAAATCTGCCCCTTTTCCTTACAAGGTGATATCTTTAATGAGATGAAGTTTCTGGTTCTCACTTAAGCAACCATGAAACATTTATGATATATTTGATTTTACAAAGGCATTTAAGAGGATATATAGGACTGAAATGTGCAATTAGCTTTCATAATGAGGTTTTGAAACAGTGATTCTTAATTTACAGACATTACAGGCCCCTTTGAAGTGGGCTTCTCTGATGTTTCAGACGGTAAAGAAACTGCCTGCAATGCAGGAGACACAGGTATGATCCCTAGGTCAGGAAGATCGCCTAGAGAACAGAAAGGCTACCATCTCCAGCATTCTTGCCTGGAAAATTCGATGAACTGAGGAACCTGGTGGGCTACTGTCCATGGGATCACAAAGACTGGGAGACTAGCACTTTGAAATGGATATTAAAAAATGCTTATGCAAAATTTGAAAACATTTCAAGAGGTTCATAGATTCCACACCCTCCCCCCTCACACACACAGCAAGTTATTGGCCTCCTGGGTAAGAACCTCTGGCCAATTCTAGTACAAGTGCCAAGGTAAGGATTACATAGCACCAACTGCTATCTTATTTATGGGTCTGCTGGTTAAAGCTGCTCTGTTTCCACATCCTTCATTTTTTATTTAAATGGAGCAATGTCTTATCCTGGAAGACTTCTGATACAAGAAAGGAGTAAATGTTTCAATAAGTTCTCAGTTAACCAAATTAAGAGAGAAACTTGATAAAATAAAAACATTTTCATAAAAAGTGTTAATGAAAGTAAGGCTGGTCAGTGTTCATATGGGGCATTCATTTTCTTTCAACTTATTTTATTTTTAAGAAAGAAAGAAAAGGAAATGGAGGGGAAGAAACCTTGACTGCCACTGGCCACATACCCACTTTTATTAAATCTGTGTTGTAGTGGTTTAGCTTCTAAGTCGAGTCTGACTCTTGTGACCCCATGGTCTGTAGCTCACCAGGCTCCTCTGTCCATGGGATTTCCAAGGCAGGAATACTGGAATAGGTTGCCATTTCCTTCTCCATTGTTCACACATTTTGCCTTGAAATGATCTCATTCTCATTTATTCTTTGCCTGGTATTCATAGCCTCAGCAATAATATATTAGCATAGCATATAATCATCATAACAGTTAATATTCACTTAGGCCTTCTTTCTATGTTTTATTCTAAATACTTTATACCTTTTAATATTCCCAGAAATTGTATGAATGAAATTCTATTATCAGTCCTTTTTTCCTAGTAGAGGAAGTTGAGTCTGAAAGGTTGAGCAACTTAGCCAGGGCCAAACCCAGACAGGATCCAGAGACAGGGCTCATAAACACTCACCACCCTGTCTCTTGGTAGGATTCTCACCTGGATTCTCACCCAGCTCCTCATGTGGTCACTGTGAGACTTTGGGCCTCAGTTTCTTCATCATAAAATAGGAATCATTTAAGTTAAACATTTAGCCAGTGCCTGCCACAGTGCTACTTAATAAATGCTGTTTCTGTTCCCTAAAGACAATTCCACATGATACAATTCTAGTACCTTTAAGGAAGAGATTTGAATTCATTTCCTAGGGCTGCTGTAACACTGGACCACAATGTCGGTGACTGAAAGCAAGAAAATTATCCTCTGATAGTTCTGGGGGCTAGAAGTCTGAAATCAAGATACCAGCAGGGCTGCAATCCCTCTAAAGAGTCTAGGGGACATTCTACTTTTATTCTTTCAGCTTCTGATGGCTTCTTGGCTTATGGCTACATAACTCTAATCTCTGCCTGTCTTCACTAGCCCTCTCTTCCATGCCTGTCTTCTGAGGACACTTGTATTGGATTAAGACTGACCTGGGTAATCCAAGATGAGCTTTTGTAGAGATCTATAACTTAATTACTTCCAAAAAGACACTTTTCCCAAATAAAGTTATATTCACAGGTTTCTGGACGTGGATGTATCTTTTGGAGGGTCACCATTCAACCTGCTACAATATCTTAACCCAAATATTTTTCTATCCTGGCAGATTTCCTCTGGTATTCTTGACAAACCAAACCATATTTTTTCAAAGAGGGCAAAGAACATTTCATCTCATCCAGTTTGAGCCTATAGTTAAATTGGTTACAAATCTATTGGTTGAAATATTTTTATTAACATGCCCAGTTGCCATTAGCCTTCTCCTTGAGAATCAACAATGTTCTTAGGAAACAAACAATTGTTACTTATTTAGAAGAATAATCTTGGAGCTCAGCCCTTTTCTGCTTTTCGCTAGAAGCATGCAGAAACCCCTGTACCTGGGAGCAGGTGAAGGAGAATGAAGCCAGCGTAATATGTCTATACCATTCTGCCCAGAAGAATGAGGAATCCACTAGGCTAAATTGTCACTGATGCTTTTTTCTTTTAGTATCTCACTTAAGTAACTCACTTCTAAGTATCAGATTACAAAATCTAATTAATTTCATTGCCTAAAGGCAATGATGTCTTGACAGGTAACTCTATTACTCCTGCTCCTCCATTCTCAACTCCCCCTGTTCTACCTAGAAACTGACCTACATGCTAACCAACCCAGTAGGGAAATCTCCCCTGAGCTGGGGGTTAGCAGAGAGAACACCTCGACAGCGCCGTATCTATCTCCATGAGCCTTGGAGTCAGCTTAACTCTCCATTCGTTTTCTTAAAAGCAGTGATAACTGAGATACAAAAGCAAGTCAGGTGAGGGCAGTAAAAGGGTATTGAAAAAAAAAAAAAAAACCAGCAAGAGTATCTTACTATTGTCACCAAAAATATCACACCTATGCAAGTTCAATGTTACTAGTCACCAAAAAATTGAACTCATCACCAAAAGCTTTCCAGACAACGCAGTAAGATGTAAAGAACAAGCCAGAAGAAAGAGGAAAAGAAAGAGGAGGAGGAGGAAGGACAGAAAAATAAAAGCAATTGAAAGTTTTATGAGTAAATCTATTCAGTGTCATCCAAAAAATTGCCCCCAAAGGACAAAAAAAAAACCCAGAAAATTAGTATTAGAAAATACTATTGGAAGAGTCTTGGTTGACCAACTGCTTATGCAGCCAGATTTCCTTTGGCAGAACACTGGGAACAAATGCTTAGCAGGTATGCTTTTTACAGATCGGTATTGTAGTAACTCACCTTCTTTGCCTTCAGACTCCTTGGGGAAAAAAAGTCTTCTATTTCTGAAGACACATCAAATATAATGGCATTAGGCAGGGATGAGAGAAAGGCTTGATTTTTTGTGCTCCAGGCTTCTAGCTCCTAAGGAAACTGAGTCCTTAGAAATGAACAGTAAGCGGGTATTTCCTTTACCAAAGTATAGGTTTGATGGTGAAGATCTGGGGATGAAAAGAGAAAGTCAGAATTGTTATGATGTACATGGCACATAGTTGCCAGTAAAGGGGTCTATAATGACAGTACAAAAGTAATAGCTTCAGTCAAATGATTTAGCCACTTTTCCATTTACTTTTAAATATTCTGGGTTTGGGGGTCTTATGAGCCCCTTATTTCACAGTCTTGTCAAAAACAGGTAAGCATATCACAGAATTTATAATTCCCACAAGTACTATAGGAAATTAAACTTTGAAAATTTCACAGATGCCAAGAGTCAACCTAAATAGATCAACACTCCTCTCAGAAGATTCTTTGCATTTCAGCAGTTTCCAATTTTCCTCTTATATCCTGAAAGCCAAGGAGAGGAAAACCCCAACTGGGACCTTAAAATGATTATTTGAAGACATTTTAGGGTCATTCATTTATTCAACTACAGATGGTCCATCCAAGCAATTTTGCTAGACTAGTAGTGCCCACTACAAATTGAGACTCTCAATGACTTTTAAAAGATACTGTTCTGAGTATTTTTAATGTATCTTGCAAAACTGAAATTTCATACCCAATGAGCAAGTCCCAGTTTCTCCCTTTCTCCAGCCCCTGGTAATCACTATCCTACTTTGTTTGAGTTTGACCACTCCAGATATCTCAGATAAGTGAAATCATACAGCATTTGTCTTTTTATGACTAGTTTATTTTACTTGGCATAATATCCTCAAAGTTCATCCTTGTTACAGCATGTGTCAGAATTTCTTTACTTTCTAAAAATAAATAATATTCCATTGTAGGTATATGCTATTAATACATTTTGCTTATCCTTTCACCTGCCAATAGACATTTGGATTGTTTTTTGGCTATTGTGAATAATGTGCTTTAACATGTGTGTACATTTAATGACATTTAAAAATAACTGTTCATGTCTTTAAGTCAACTGTTAGTGTTGTAGCTGTATTCACGTTTTACTTCTAAGAACAAAAAACAAATTGGTAACCTTTGGGAACAATATCTGCAGAAGGAAAAAAACAACCCAGAAGCTGTACTCTATCTTCTTTCCTTAGGATAACAGGGTTTTTCTTTCTTTTTTTTAATAAAACAATAAAGTAAAGAGGTTCATCCTAGGAAGTGACATTAGAGTTAAAACGTTGGTCCAGAAGTCCTACTCTCCATTCCCAAGTTAGCAGAAATAAAGAAGGATACTTGCCCTGTTTCTTTCTTTTTTTTTTTTTTTTTTTGCTGGTTTTCTTTAAAAGGTTTTTTTTTTTTTTTTTTTTTTTTTGTCCTCACGTGGCTTGCAGAATCTTAGTTTCCTGACCAGGGACTGAATCCAGACGTGGTGAAATCACAGCATCCTAACCACTGGACCATCAGGGAGTACCCCTCACCCTGTTTCTATATGAGTTAATGACAGGATACCAGGAATAACTATATCATCCCCTATTACAAGTTCCTCTTCCTATGCATAACATCTATTCAGCATTAATATGTGTACTGCTTTTTTTTTCTTGGTTTTATTATATGCATCACCTTTTTAATAGCCACATGACATTGAAATTGATCTAATCTGAATTTTGTATTTCCTAAATGATTATGAAATTTTCTCTTAAAGTGAAATTCCAAATTTCCTTTCCCAGAGAGAAGT